AAGATCTAGCTCAACCCATCAACTATGGAAAGCAGAAGATACAAGGCACTCACCTTAACACACAATAATCAACAGGAGGCCGAGGGGGCATGGAGTTGCACATATACTGGAAGACTTCAGCCTGACGATCTAACCGACTAATGACTCTCCACTTCAACAAGGAATCATCCCACAAGTGCCTAAAAGAGATGAGTAACTCATGTAAGTATGTAACAATAGCAATAGAGAAAACAATAGGCACTAAATACCCTTTCCATACTACAGGGTCTGTGAATCTGATAAATATGCCAAAAACAAATTTCTGAATTAAGCAATATTGCATGAATTTTTTTCTGCAATGGCCCTTAGAAGACTTTGTGTACAGCTGATTTACACACAAACCTAGAATTTTCACAGTACATTTTCCAATGAAGAAAAGGCTAATACAAATCAAATCAAAGGTAAACTCACCTTTCTCTAATGACACGGTTCAGCAGTTCTGATGGAGGAGCCTCTACTTCTGTTGTTGCTCGCCACAGCCTCAATGGGTGACCATCACCAACCTTGCGATAAAGAATCTCAACGTTGGGATCCGTGCAGTTCATGTGTACCCAACCTCTGGATCTGTAAGATAAAGCAGAAAATTGTAAAACGGTGTATATAAGCTTTGACATTTTAATTTGGATTCTTTAAAAAGTAAGTTGTTTTCTTGTTTAAACATAAGGAACTGGATGCTTTGGTAACAAATCTCCTGATTTATAGAAATATCCATTCTCCTGAGCTATAGTAAAAATGCATGGTATAAAATGCATATCTCATTCATAGATCACATACTTCTGCAAACACCAGAGGCCCAAAACCACTCACTTGTCTCTTGCTTCTTTCAGTAACGATGTGATACAGGCATTCATGTAGGTTGACCAATCTCCGTCCACACTAGCCACTCCCGGAGACCCCACGACACCTAGGTCCTCAAGGTAAACGGGCTGACTCTGCTCCAGGTACGTGAACCGGCAGTTGGACAGCATTTCCATCGGCACACACTGGAGTTGGCTGACCTGTTAGAAAACACAAGAGAATTAGATACAATTTTTTTTTTTAATTTGTAATAATTATTCATATCACCACAAAATTCTCATTTTAATAAGTATCCCTAATAAAAAAGATGCAACAATAACAAAGACAGAACCTAAAGTTGTCCAATAACATAGATCTTGAAATTAAATTCATGTCACTGCCTTTACATCAACCAAAAACAACTTACCTGCTGTATCATTAGAGTAAGACAGTGGTGAGCTGCCTTGTTTTCATGCAGATCCCGAGGCTCAGGAGTACCTGTTGCTCGCCGTCTCAATGGACTGGAAACCCGAAGTCCCAACATTGAGGTGGAAGAGGGAGGGGGCCAGGCACACAGCCAAGTTGCTAGCATGCATCTGGAAAAAAGAGGTGGAAGGTAAGCAACTGAAAACATTTTCTAATTACACTGACATGAAATTTACACTGCTATTATGTAAATTTTCAAAGTATTGTTTCTATACTGTAAATATTCAAATTATTGTGACGGATTTACCTGATTCAGATGGGAATTTGCTGCCACATCAGCAAGGAATGTGAGAAGCACCATTAAGACTTCACGGTTCTCATCCGGCAACATAAGAATAGCACACTGAAGGGCCTCAAGACGATGTTCAACTGGCAGGTCTGTAAACGAGAAGCATGGATTGAAAATAGGATATACATTGGTATACATATACACATACTATATACTCTATATATATACAATTACATATCGCTCATTCATTTCAACAATGACATAACTCAAAAAAGGATACTTTTCAGGAGAAGCAAAATAAACTTTTAATATGTAATACAGCCTTCCATGTAAGTTTTAAAAGAGGTATTTAGCAATGAAGTTTTATTTCAGGATTCAATGTAGTGCATGACATCAAATATAATAAAATACACTGAACTGAAATAAAACGCTATGCCAACTAAACGATTCGTCTGAAAGAAAATGAGTCACTATGCCTTGAGCGACATCTAATGGACAATTTTGATACTAGAGTTATGGCGTTCTTACCACAAATAAATATAGAAAATGACAAATTCAGTGATATAACTAACTCAAAATCTTCAATTTTTGAGTTATGTCACTGTTGAAATAAATGAGCGATATGTTATACTGGATATTGAATAGTAAAGAGCAGCAAATAAATTAAGCAAAATTAATAGTTTTGAGTTGGTATATAGCTTTAGGCAACAAATACTGAAAAATCTTATCAACAAACATAATACAGGTATACAAGGAGCTCACACACAATAATGATTCCAACTAATATTTAATAGGCATATAACTTACACTGGAAGATTGCTATGAACATTTCAGAGAGCTTGTTGGTCAATAACACTTCAGGCAGCTCCCTGAAGTACGTTTTGACCATATCAGCTATGTCACAGGTACCGAAGTCCGAGTACTGAATGTTCTCTCCCATTTCATGTAACTCTTGCAGCTTCTGAATGCGGGATCTTACACCAGGTTTCCTAAAGATGCCAACCTGAAAGGGAAAGAATTCACCTTGTTTTAATACATTTGTTACATTTGGAGGTTCTCTCTTTCTGTGGTTCATTTCAACATGGCTACAGAGTAGATGGCTTCTAGGTTGACATTTACCTG